TGAATGCTTAAACAATTCACTTCTAACTTGTTAATTCTCACAGAGAGAGAGAGAGAGAGAGAGAGAGAGAGAGAGAGAGAGAGAGAGAGAGAGAACTTCAAGCAAACCAAAGGCAGAGGGCTTAGAAAGTACAGAGAGGCCCTGAAATGCAAGAACTGAAAGGCGTCCTACCTCCTCGCTTTCCCAAAGCAAACGGCCTGCTGGCGATGGCAGCTGCCTGCTCCTGGCTGTGCTGAGCAGCTGGGAAGGAGGCGGCCACTGAACCCGCTGAGTGTGAGCAGGCCCTGCCTGTGTTCAGAAGCTGCCCCAGTCAGATTTTCCAACTGCAGAACTGTAGCCAAGTCCCTGCCCATGCCTGAAGAATTTCCTGAACAGCATTCCCGTTCTTTTTCGGGTTGCTTTGAAACCGTACTCTGTCTATTCTTCAATCTGGCTTTAGCAGGCTGACTGGAAGCTACTAGGCTTTCTCCAGCCATCAAAGTGAAACACATGTGCAGAGGGATCGCCTCTCTCCCTGCTCCCTGCAGCACCGCTCATGGCTTCCGCTGCGCTCCCACTCACGGCGAGGAAAGTGCTTCTAGAATGAAGCCAGATCCTTCAGCCCTTCTCCACCCAAGCCCTGCTCTGGGAAGCAAGATGCTGGAGATAAGTCCTCTCCTTGCTCAGCTCCATGCCGCTCCTGTTAAATTGACTCCTGCCACAAGGAGTCCCCAGCTGACCCCTGTTATCCCTGAGAGCTCTCCCCAGGACTGATAACGAGTTAGTACAGCTGAGAGATATGAATTCTAATTTGATCCCCCTACCTGCTGCTTCCTGAGTCTTTGCTCAAAATTTCAATTGCTCGAGGGGAAACAATATTTTTAGCCTTTCCAGACCAGTTTGGCGCCTCGGAGTTGTCCCCTCACCCCGCGACTGACATGTACACTGATCGTTGCAGCAACTAAAAAGAATGCATTTATTCGTCAGGCACCTTTGGTGCTCTCTGCTGTGGAACTGGGCTAGTTGGTCCAAAATATAACATTTTCCAGGTTTTTGCACTGTGTGTCACGGGGATGGGAAGCAGAAAGGAGAGAAGAAGGCAGCTTGAATCGGCTCACGTCTGATTCTGAGCACCTGTGTTTACCTGTGTTTACTTCTGGTCGCTTCCTGCCCAAGACGTCCCGTGTACCTGCAGCTGGATTTTATGAGTTAACCTTGACATTTCCCTTTTCCCATAAAATGAGAGGAAATCTCAAGCCACAGGAGGAAAAAAAACCCTCTTTCACACCTTAAGAAAGTCCCACACCTAAAGAGCTGAAGCTAAGTTGTCAAGGTAACATGGTAGTAAAAAGATGATTTAATGAGAAAGCTGTATTTGTCCTGAGTGATTTCCTTGTTGTTGTTGTTTTTGTTGTTGTGATTAAAATTTTACTTCCCAGCATCACACCCTCCTAGCAAATTAAAAAAACAGGGCCTGCCAGACTTTATAAATGTTGTGTATTCCTAAGGGGCCAAAGTCAATAAGAGGGTTGGGTGGGATCTGGGGCTCAGAATAAAATTAGTGTAGTGAGCACTTTCAGCAAGATCAGATTTTTTTTTCCTTGTGAGGTATTTGTGTGTCTCTCTGTGTGTGTATGTGTGTGTGTGTACATCTTAGGTCATACGTACATCTAAGGTCAAGAGGCAATTACAGAATCGGCGAACGTTAGCATTGGAAGGAACCTCAGAGACCAGCCAATCCAAATTGTTTCCAGCCTTCATCTTACACAGCAAAGCAGACGCCCTGAAGGATGAGCAGCCCTGAGCTGCCGAGACAGCTAGTGCAGAGCGGTGGCTACAAAAGGCAGTGGTGCTCTTCCGCTGCTTTCTCTGCTTCAGCGTAATATGGGGACGCCACCAGAGCCCCCCTTTTAGCAGGGCTGTAGGCAGGCAGCCTGCCCTGCATTCCTATGCTTCTGATCAGCTAGGACCCCTCATGAGCCTGTTTAATTTCTCTGCCTTGAATTTCCTTGTCGGTGGCATGGGAATAGTAACAGAATTTACCACAGAGGCCGTTGGTGGATCCACTGAGATAATCTGTGGAAATTGTTTATGGTATGCTTAGAAATCAATTTCACTTTTTAAAATTTGGTACAGGGTCTCACTATGCAGCTGAGACACATAATGATCCTTCTGTTTTTAGCCTCCCTGGATCTAGGATTACAGGCATGTGCTACCATACCTGGTCTCAGGGGCAGGCTCAGTGCAGCTGGGGGCAGGGCCAGGGCAGCATGTGGTACTGGGGGGTGGGTGAGGGGTGGAACCCTGGTCCCTGCACTTGCCTAAGCAACCTAGTCTGCTGAGCTAACTTGCTGGCCCTAATTTCACATTTTTAATGAAGCGGAAATGAAGCATATTTTACTTGAATGTCAAAATGTCTTCTCTCATCCAGTAAGAGCACTATAATAAACTATAGCCTTGGTTAGCAACATTTTCTGCTGTCTTACTTTTATACAATCGAGATGTATCACCTTAAACACAGAAAAGTGCCCTACAGCATTGTTGGGACTTTAAGTCCACTAAACCACTAATCATTACTTAATCCCTAAACATAATATTGTAATCTGGGCTCAAGATTAGCTCACAAGGAAGGAAAACAGTGATCAAACCTGCGATCAGTTCTGGGATGCTGAACAAAGTGCCCTGTGCAGAGAGGGACTTTCCTTCCATGCTTCTCAGCCTTAGCATTATAAAGATAGAAGACTATCAGCAACTGCAATTCTTAGCTTCAAAAATTGCAGTGTCCTAAATTAATAACAGCAGCAGAAAAATGAAATGCCACAAATTGAGAAAGAAAATGCTTTTTGGAGGAAGGGAAACAGCTGCTAGCAAGTCTACAGGATCAAATTTCTATCTGTGTAATCCTGAGTTCCACAGCCTTTGCCTTAGAGCCAGTGGTACTCAGTGGTTAATGAACCACTCACGTTACGTTAATCACGTTTGCTGTGTTCATCTTCCTTCAGGGAAACAAAAGAAGCAGTTCAAGTAATTCTTAGCTTCCAATGATTTACAAATGTTTAGGCAATTTCATTAAAAAAAAATCCCTGGAAAGACTAAGTACAGACTTAAAAGAAAAATAACAGTGCTATAATCTAATTCATCCCACTAGTCCCAAAGAATGTCAACCTGGCCGTCTTCAGTGTGGGAATCCGAAGAGAAGGGCCTCAGTATGATGTTCTGCTTCTAGATAACTATGTGGAAATCCTGGAAAAGGACTTAGATCACATTTAGGGGTATTATCCAAGCCTGAAAATAAGACCCAAATGTTGGCATGTTATTCAAGGTTATATATGAGAATTGTTTACTAGAGCTTCTCAAGAAGTATTTTTAGGGGACTGTGTGAACTCACCGTTCACCACTGAATGCTGGTCCCAGGCTTAGTAAAGTTATATGACTAACATGGGAGCCTTCTTATGAAGTAAAAAATAAAATAATTTATTCATTGTCTCTATGGTTTGAGTCAGGGTGTTCCCTCCAAAGCCTCATGCAGTCATGGCGGCTGCCTCTTCAGAGGTGGCTGAATCTAGTTGGTGATTGAGGGTGTGAGTGCTACTCTTGCCCTAGGGTGAGTTGCCTGCATACAATTTAAGGGACAAAAAGATCTCTCTCTCTCTCTCTCTCTCTCTCTCTCGCTCGCTCGCTCGCTCGCTCGCTCTCTCTCTCCCCCCCTCACTGGGTATTTTGGCATTGGGTATTTTTTCTCAGCAATAAGAAAAGTAACTAAGACAATAGTAGAAAAAATTGTGTGACGTACATTGTGGGACAGGACATCCTTTGTTCTGTAACACACCTAGCAATCTCATCTAAAATTTCTTCATTAACATGTTTAAATAGTGTTTTTTTTAAAGCTGAATTATTCTAATCCATGTTGTATTTTTAAAGGGTTAAACTGTAGACTCCGTTAAAACATGAACCTGATTTTGCCACTCTGAGCTAAACCCCTTCTATGCTTCACCTCCTGTGTGAAAGGAAGAGATAGCAACTCTCGGACAGAGCTGAGAGCTCAGTGAGAGGTGGTTCCTTGTCTACCCCTTCAGCTCCATCTGCTGTTTCTCTTCCTGTCTTTTTCATCCTTCAAATAAATCTTAAAGCTTTCTACTGGAAATTTGGAAAAAAAAAAAAAAAAGCTATTTTCTCTTCCTGGAAGAAACTCACTTTTTCCCCTACAAGTTCCCCTCCCTGGCATGCTTTCATCTACTTACCTCCTATTCTGCTTTCAGATTTACACTCTGTCATCCCTTGCTCTAAGATTTATTGCTCTCTGAACAGTCTTCATGTTTTATGTGCTCAAGGACTGGCACTGATTATAGTTGTCAGTACATCCGTATTGGGGTTTTGTTTGATTTGTGTCAGTTTTCCTGATGGACAACGAATGTTCTCCTTGAAGACCTAAATTATGTTTCTGTGCCTCCGATTGTATTCTACTCCTCACACCATGCATAACTCACAGGAAATGAACTGTGGCTACTTTAAAATAAGGGAATTCAGGGTATTTTTTAAATCCACATTGCAGTGACATGAATATAATCCAGATGTCAATATATTGATTTAGCCAATTACATTTATTCTTTCCAACCTGTTAAGGTGTCGTATTGAATTCAGGAATCCAAGGTGTCTTATAAGATACAAATATTTTTTTGTAAGAAAACTAATAAGTCATTCCTATTTTTATCCAAATGACTCTTAAGAGACGTTATCAAGTTAGATCCTCAGAAAAGACCTGGCATACAATGTAGGCTGTGATTATACAAATGGGCATCTACCACCTTTTGGCTTGCGGAAGAGGGCAGGCTCATTTGAGATGATGCTGTGAGGTCCTGAAGATACAGGTAAGGCTGGGGAGATAGCTCGGTGGTCTACACTCCTGTCTGGCAAGCACAAGGACCCGAGTTCTATCCATGGTAGCACATGCCATGCCTGCCCCAGAACCCTAGGTGTGCCAAGACAGGGCATGGTGGGGCATGCCTGTAATCCCAGCGATGGAGAAGCTGAGACAGAAAGATCACTACTAGTCTGAACTGCATAGTGAGACCCTGTATCCAATAAATGAGAGAGAGAAAGAGAGAGAGAGAGAGAGAGAGAGAGAGAGAGAGAGAAAGAGAGAGAGAGAGAGTAAAACTTGAAAACAGGACTTCAAGATAACACTTTAGATTACAGCTGACAGGAGTGACTCAGATTAGCTGAAGGACAAAGGGTCAGTAATGTGCTAAATCATACCACTGTAAATCAAGTTGTAGATCTGAGTGTAGTGGTTAAAATATAATGTAGATGCTATCACCCTCTTATTCCCCAGGAGGCTCTTGTCTCTACTAGTCTCACTCTCTCCAAATCGGTACTAAGCCTGTTTTATTTCACTTATAATCTCCAAGTGGCATCCACTTAAATATAAAAACTTTGACTTTATCATTCTTTATAGCTCAGTAATACTCCATTGTCTAAAAATACCACATCTTTTTCATTCGTTCCACATGTGACGGGCATCTTGGTTGTTTCCAAGATTTGGTGACAATCACAAATTGTGCTGCTATAAACATAGATGCACATATAACACTATGTTATGGTGTTTTCAGTTCCTTCAGGAAAATTCCCAGTCGAGGGATAGCTGGCTTGAATGGGATTTCCAGTCCTAGTTTTATAAGGAGTCTCC